GGGTTTCTCTGCGTAGCTTTGCGCCTTTCCTGGAGCTCACTTGGTAGCCCAGGCTGGCCTCGAACTCACAAAGATCCTCCTGGCTCTGCCTCCCGAGTGCTGGGATTAAAGGCGTGCGCCACCACGCCCGGCTGAGGAAAATTATTTTAATGCATTTATTCTATTTGGTTTGCCTTATACTATACAGTTGTACCTGCATACAAATTGTTAGTGTTAATGGCATATATTGTTTACATTTGTTAGGATATATGTTTAGATTGGATTTAATATCAAAATCAACTTGCAGACTGCTTATCTGTAGAGGTGAATAGAAAAGTAAAGAAATATGGCTGGGCATGGTGGCTTATACCTTTAAACCTAGCACTTGAATGACAGAGCCAGTCTGTTTTTTATAGCAGGTTCTTGGCCAGCCAAAGCTACACAGTGAGACCTTGTCTAAAAAAAAAAGTAAAGAAACAGAAACAGCATGGTAGTGCTCTAAGTAGTACAAGAAGGTTTGTAAGAGGTAGAGTGGAGCTGGAGGGATGGGAGCACTTCATCCTTCCCTGGCTCTTGTTGAGTCCTTGAAGGATGGAGTCAGGAACATTAGATGGTTGTTGCCTTACTTGATGTGTGCTGAGGAGTGGGTCATACAGTACATTGGTGATAGGGTGGCAGGTTACTTGACTATGGTGTTTAAACTTAGATTTTAGTGTAACAGACTGTCACTTAAGGATTTCAGGTATGGTGATGGTGGGATAATATTTTTACTCCTTTTAAAGAACTCCATTGCCATTGTGGGCAGTGCTTGGAAGTGAGGAGTAACTGATGGAAAGGAGTACAGCACACTGCATTGAGTGCGTCTTGCTGTCTGCTCTCAATGCTTCTGCATCTGGCTGCCCAGTGCTTCCTGTACTGTAGTCTTTGTGGGAGTGACAGTGATCTGCCTCTGTTCTGTTTTGGTCACATAATATGTATTTTAGTAGAAGATTTAGACTACTTTAAGATCTTCATTAAAATAAAAAAGGCTTGTTTGTGCCTTGCTACTTTTACAGGTATCTGAGTATTCCTAATAGGTTAATATGCAAGCCTATCACTTTAGGTTTTCAACCGTGGTGGGTATTGTATAGAGAGGGTCCAACATGGACTTTGTCCTTGTTCATTAACTTTTCCTCAGTAAATATCCTTTATGAGTCGTTTTTCTTTCTTTTTCTTTTTTTTTTTTTTGTTTTTTTTTGAGACAGGGTTTCTCTATATAACAGCCTTGGCTGTCCTAGAACTCACTCTATAGACCAGGCCTCGAACTCACAGAGATCCGCCTGGCTCTGCCTTCTGAGCACTGGGATTAAAGGCGTGTGCCACCACTGCCCGGCCGTTGTGCCTTTTTGTAGAGAACATCTTAGAAATTGTACCTAGCTCCTGCTAAGTTTGTTTTCACTCCATGTTCTTAGTTGAGTGTAAAAGTTGTCATCCTTCCAAAGCTGAAAGACATCCTGAAGCATGTGCTGGCGCTCTGTGAAACATTAGATTGGGTAATAGACATTGGAGAAGAGGAACCAGAAGGTAGTGATGGTATCAGAAGTTTTCAGGAGTTGTTAAGTCTGTACTTACTATCTTAGACAGTTACTGTCAACCAGGGGATGTGTTTCTCTGTTTGTATACACCATGTGGCTGGATAGGACATGAACATATGTAAACTTATTATTAGTTTTTAGATTGAGGATGTATCTGTACAATAAATGTCTTCTTACTGATGCTATGAAGTCTGATGACAGTAGGTAACTATGCTATTTATTTTGAGTACTTATACTTTACCAAATTTGGGTTTTAGTTTTTAGTAATATAGTTAAGTAGTAAAATATAGTAGTTATATTAATATATTAATTCAATTTGAAATCTGGGCCAGCTTATAATAGATATATGACATTTTCTCTTGCTGCCATATGTAATTACAATTTAAAAATAGCTATTGTTAGTCTATTCTATTGTTACTGGGATGGACATCTATTGTGTGCAAGCTCTTAACTAGACATCTCCAAAGATTGCTATTTGTATAGTGCATAGTATTGTGTATAGTGTTGCAACCTTGACAGTTATGCTGATAATATAGTTGTTAGTGTTCAAATTAAAAAAGAATGTTCTCTCATTTAGGCACAACCTGTTGGAGATTGTGATTTTAATATTCGCCTGCAGTGTATTGAACGTGAAATCATAAGTCCACGACATGAAAAAATGAAGACTGGGCTCATTGACAAAACACAGGAACCATTTAGTGTGAGACCTAAACAATTTTTTGACATCAATATTTCAAGAAAGGTAAAGTTTATTTATTTTTTTAGTTGGTAATTCAAGTTCCATTGCTCAGCTTTTGAGAGGAACATGGATGACTGTCTTTCCCAGGGTGATGCTCAGGGTCTCCTCTTAGCCATGTTCTCTGTGTGGACACAACATCACGCTGCTTCCCTGTTTCTTGGAATAGTTCATGATTAATGATCATTGGTCCATATTCTCATTAAAAAAAAAAAAGCTACAGCTGACAATGAGTCATTTAGAATGAACTGGGAAGAGGAAAGGAGAAAAAAAGAAAGACAAGGAAAAAGAAAGGAGAGGAAGAGGAAGAAGAAAAGGAAGAGAGGACTCAACCTGGCTCTATTAACAGCCTCTTCATTTTGTTTAATGTAATACAGCCAAGACAGTGAAGGTGTGATGAGCTGCTCAGGATTTAGATTCATATATGTATCTCCTAGTCAATTTGAGATTTTTAGTGTTTTGGTAGAGTTTCTTAAATTTTTGCATATGTGTGTCTAATTTTTAATTTTTTGAGCTCTTTGGGAGTTTTTTTTACAATGTATTTTGATCATACTCACTCCCATTCGCAATCCCTCCCAGATCTATTCTTCCCTTTTTTACCACCCAACCTTGTTTGTTGTTTTTTATTCATTTGGGACCCCCCCTCCCGCCCCATGGAATGGTATTGCACACCTCAGTTACCTCAATTAGATACTATGTCACAGACTGCATACAGGTTTGTTTCTACATAATTCTGGATCCTGACTATTTGACAATCATAAAACTGTGTTTCCAGCCGGGCGGTGGTGGTGCACGCCTTTAATCCCAGCACTCGGGAGGCAGAGGCAGGCGGATCTCTGTGAGTTCGAGGCCAGCCTGGACTACCA